ACGTATCTATTTAATGATGGTGAAAATTGAAGGTGTCCAGTAAAGCAGTTGTAATTGTGTTTAATGCTGAGACAATGAACCTAGTTAAGATTCAAATTGGTCTTCCTCTTTGTTTCTGTGTTCCAGTAATAAATGGTTAATTACCAGTTTCAAAAGCTCAGTGCAATTTGTCAGCCTGCAGAAATCACAGTGGTCACCATATTGTCAGTAAGAAGTTTGACCCCATTGTTTTTACAGATGAAAATATTTATTCTTTTATAGAAAATGCTGAGAAATCTCCTGACTTGAAATACCAAGGCACAGCCTTTTTGGGCGGGGTGGGGGCTGACAGAATGTGCACATCTGCTGAGTGCCATGAACAAAGCTTCCCACATTCCTCAGCTCTGTCTGTGTGACCCCTTCTCCTCTGCCACCAGGAGGTATCTGGCAGGACAGAGGCTCAGCACGAGACTCATCCCATCACCCTGAGGTAGTGGAACCCTCCCAGTTAAGGTCCCACATTTGAACCCTTTGAACAGACTTTTTAGCTAGATTTGCTCTCTAAATAATTCTATTTCCAAAAGCCCTGAAACCTACAAACCCAAAGCCACTAAATCCCTGACTGATCCATATTTGCTTGTCTTGAGGGAAGGACCATTGGCCCCATGGGTGATGGGACTGAGATGTTCCCTTTGCTCCAAGCACTGATGCCTGCATTACAGAAGTGGGGTATTTTAGACAGCCATGGCAAAATCACAGTTTACTTGTTACTGTCTATGTTTAAAGTGATCAGTGGATTGTGAGGGAACCTCAGCATGAAATTTTCACAGTTTGGGCCAGAAACTGTCAAGTAACTTAGCTGCAGATATGGTTGTTGGCTAATATATGTTACATTATAATCCGAATTAATTTGAGCATTACAGTTAGGATTTCCTTGTTTCTTTATTTATTAGGGATGGTGAAACAGACTGAATTTGTACAATAAGGCACAGCATATCAGTGTTGTACTTGTGCTGCCACTATGTTATTCTCCAAGATTTCCTGCAAACAGCTACTTCTCTGAGCCAAAGACACTGCGAGCACAAAATTAACAGCACCTTGATGTGGAAATGCTGAGTGCGTTTTAGACAGAGAGTAGTACCCATCTATTCTGTTTTACTATATGCCACTCCAAAACTCCAGGCTCTTTAAATATTTGGATGAAAAATATAATGATTAGAAAAAAATAAAGAAGTCTGAGGAGACATACCAGAACACAGAAAAACCACAGCATAATTTCCATTTTGTTGCCTACTCTTATTTTCAGGTTCTAAGTTTCCTCAAGGAAGTAATTTGCTGGCTGGAATTATTGCCCAAGATAGCTTCCTCAAATTTAACAATCTTACTGCAGGAAAAAGAAAGGGAAGGTTGTGCCCCAGTAGCTGGGAAATGTGTGTCAGGGTCAGGGTAGATACTAATCTGCTGATCCTGATATTTTACTGCACAAAAATGACATATGCAAAATGCATTTGCATCTTTTCTCTATCCCTGACCAAATCATGCTAAGACAATTAAAACTGTGATTTCTGCCTTGCAGCTGAAAAAGAAACAGACCAAGAAGAGACCTGTTTCCTTTACAAATATTCTTCCTACTTTCAGAAACTCTGACAAGCACCATACAGGTCAAACAACTTTGAGATGACTCATAATTAGGACACAGTGTCATTGAGCTACGTGCTCAGAGTTTAACAAGACGGATCACAAATTAGCAAGCACAGATCTTGCAAGTTGCTGATAACAATGAACAGTGGAGTTACTCACTGTCTCTAGTTTTTCTCATTCCTTTCATCTCTTGACCTGTCCTTCTACTTATTTCCTGTTCTCAGAATATTTCAAGTTGGCATGATGGGTTTTCTGCAACTGATCCATAAACAAGCAAGTGAAGAGTGTTTCTCTTAGGGAATAAATTTGATTTATAATCCTTTTTCATAATTAAAAAGCCCCAAATTGCTACCAAACTTCTGATGCCTCCTTGCACTACAGAGTCTCCATTCTGCCTCATCATCTGTCTGTGAAGTAGAACACTTCCACAAGCCTTAATTCATTACCAAAATGAGAGCAGAAAAGCAAAACAAGAGGTATCATTACAATCTTGAAAGCAGAGTGCAGGAGCTATCTGCAATTTAATGGGTCCTGCAATTACATCTTGATTGAATGTGATGATGAAGCTTTCTTGTACAGCATGGTACTCATCAGTACACCATGACCTAGACCTGACTGAGGATTTTAGTTTGCACAGATGAGAAAGGGGAATTCAAACCTGGGGGAATGATGGCCTAGATTATAAAATTGTATGATTTTCCTTGTATTCTTTTTGGGAAGTGTCTTGCGTTGTACTAACAGTCAACAAGTAGGGATTGAGAAAAATTATCCAACATTTTCCCTTCATCAAATGTAACTACAGTAAGCACCTAGAAGCCTTTATCAGGAATAGACCCCAAGCAAAATTATTTTCTGTACTCAGAAGTAAGAACCAACTTTGGTCCTAAAGAGCTACCAGCCTAAAGAAACTAGTCAGGGAAACATCTGATTAAGATCCTCTTCACTATGCAGGAAAATTGAGGTTCAGGAGCACAAGTGTCACAGACAAGATGCTGGAACAGAGCTGAGAGAGAACCTATTTCTTCTGGTTTTAGATGAACTCCAAGTGGTGTGTGGTGGAAGGGGGGACTGATTTATGCATCTTGACACACTCCAATTTTAGATCCTGGCTCCATTTTCTACCTGTGGCCTTTAACCTCATTATGGATGTGCTGTGATTTCTCCCATGGATGTAGAGGGTTCTAAGTTCTGCTTTTTTGAGGTACCACAGCAGGTCCAGTTGGACACCATACAAGAGAAGTTAAAAATAACTTATGGCTACCAGAGCCCTTTTTGCCTCTTAGGCCTGAGCCAGGGCTGCTGGAGACCATGGGTTGTTTTTTGTTGAGTTTGATGCACTTTGGTTTAGGCTGTAAACTGTTGCCATCTCTTCTTGCCTCTCTCTGCTGTCACTGTCACTCTGTCGAGGTGGTGGAAACACCATGTTTTTAAAAATCAATAGTTCTTAGAGAAGTAATGAAGGAAACCGAAGTTACCAGTTTGGAGAAATGGAGGAAGATTTAAAGGTGTGAGGACACTGACTAACAAATCAGTCCTCTCTGGGCTGCTGTCACTGAAGTCCAGATGGCACCTGAGCATCTCAGATGTGGAGCCAGAGATGCTCAGTTTGGACAGACGGTTCATTATGGTGCAGGGTGAGGACCAGCTGCACAGAGGAGGCTGGCTATTACCTTGCTGCTGCAGCCGCTTCCTGCTGGAGGCTGATACCTGCCCATTGCTTTGGTAAAGGTTAACTCATGCTGGGTTAATAATTGTCTATTATCTGCCCAGAGGAACTAACTATCTTAAACAGAGCAAGGTAAAAATCTTCTTTTTCTGTCTTTTTTTTTAAAGCATTTTTCAAAGAAATGTGTACATTAATCAAACTCATGAATGAACAAAGGAAAGATAACAGCAGTGATATGTTCATTGGGGAAGGAGACCCTGGGTCACACAAATCCACCAGCAATGAATCTAAATAAAGTCAGGGAGAGTGTCACTGACTACTGCAATTATTATTGCCGTGATTGATAATGTAGTTCCTCAGCTAATGTGGTGATGTGCGTGGTCTGAAGGTCAGCAGCACAGCTGGTGAGGTGGAAAACCATGCTGTTGTGATAGGATGGGCTGATGCTTCATGGTCTAATACCCAGCTTCTGTAAATCAAGATTAATTTGGATTACAGTGCCCTGATCCTGGGCTGTCCTGCATGTGGTAGCTCTGCAGGATTGGTCTGAAGTTTGTCCTACTTTAGCCTTTTCAAGTTGAGTTGCTGACTTTTATTGATCCCTTCCCTTAGTTTTAAGTGTAATTTAGGTTTCAGAAGGGAAATAGAATGGATTTATCTGTTTCTGTCAAAGAATAGAAACATAAGAAATCTTTTTGTAGGGGTGTGACTGGTTTTATTCACTTCTGAGGGATGCAATGAGATTTAATGAGTGATTTGGAGTGGGGAAAAGTGTTGTGAAATTTCTCATGATTCACTCACTGAGATATCATGGGAAAAACAAGGAGGTGGAAGACCTGAGGTGAATTCTAGATAACCTTTAATGATGAAGGAAACAGTACACTGTATTATAATATAAACGGTGCTAAGGACACCTTTCAGAGTAGATTGATATCTGTGTTATTCCAGAAGTTCAAACACTTGAGATTGCAGATTAACTCAATGATTTAGAAGCATGGAGGAATGAATATATTACATAATTGAAGAACAGGAAACTGGTGCAAACTGTTGCAGTAAAATAAAGGAGCTCTGTGCTTTTCCTGTTCCCACAGCCATGACTATCATATCCAAATGTAACCCACTGCTGTAGCACGAACTGAGAACTGAGAAGACAAGCAGAAGAGACATTGGGATTTTCTTGAAACTGGTGAATTCAAGGCTCTCAGAAAGAATGAAGTACTGGAAACTTTTGCCACAGTAGCAACTGTGGCAAAACACCTTCTTATTTATTACACATAATCAGCAACAGGGACATGAAGTAAGATTTGCCCCCGAAATTTGACCTGTCTTAATAAAGTGTCTGAATGTGCCATATTTAGTTACATCACACAAATGTACATTTTCTTTTGCTTCTCAAATTTCCTCTCTGGATTTTTTGAGACCGTAAGTTTTTGGGGCAAGCTTTCTAAATTATTCAGGCTGAAATCTCATAAAAATAGAAGATTGGACAGTTTTAAAGGCAACTAGAAATCTGAATACCATCTTTATTTATTACCAAATAGGGAACAAATTTGAAGCTCCTTTACTGCATTGTTGTATAAATATTGACTAAAGCATTGCTGTACAAGGAAGCCTGTAAGTTATTACTCAGTGCTCTAAAGACAGAAAGGGAGAATCTTTCATTCATTTCATTGTATTTCTAGGGCCTTTGAAGTCATTCATTCTAGGAAGAAGAGACTCTTACAGGTAATTTACTGTATTTGTGCCTTCTGTCCCATGGGCTATAATGCAAGATGAAATGTCAGTTTCTGCTTTCAGTCTTAGTTTCTCTTGCATTACTCCATCCTCCTTCTCCGAGGTACTCTTCAATGTAATCATTACACTCCAGTTTGGCTCCCTGCAGAAAGCTTGAATGGTATCACTTGCAGTAAAGGCATGTGTTCTGTCACCTGAGGATTCTCCAGTCCCTGGAAGAACAAGCCAAGAGAGTATTTGCCTCTGCAGTGGAGATACTGCTTCGAGATCCATTTGAACTCAAGAAGGAGAGAAGCACTTTGCTGGGGGTCTTCATCATCACAGCCAGCTGCTGGACATGGAGAAGTGTCAATGAAATAAAGATAGGATTTCTGTATTAGGGATGCAGATGAGTTTTTTTCTGTAAAAAGTCAAGAAATGTGTCTGTAGACACATTTACGTGTGGGATGCAAGAATTGGGCAGTGCCTTCTATTAGCCTCTTAAGGTTCTGCCACTCAATTTCTGTACATTGACTTTTGGCTTTGCATATACTGGAAATGTAAAGCTCATGAAATGTTTGTCTTCCATACCCTGAAACACAGGCACCTTTGGGGGAAACCTGGTGGCTATTTGAAACTATGATTAAGATGTAGATAGTCTCTGTTTGATCTTCAATTTTTGAGTGCCCAAAAATGGGCAAGGTGTTGGCGTGTAGATGAAGGTCCTTGTTTCCTAAAGGAGTTAATACAGAAACCAAACATTTGTGACATTTCCAAAGGGGTCTGTGGCAAAGTGGGGACATCTCCTCCCTGGCAGGCAGAGCCAGTGCTTTGCTTTTCAATAGCTAGAAGCATGACTGAAAAGATGCTTTACAAGGGAGCACGAGGAACCTTTTGGCAGTGATGGCCACTGGCTGCTACAGGAAAGGTTCAGGCCCATCCAGAGGGCTGATTTTTTTTATTTTGAAGAGGGAAGAATCCCCACTGCTGCATTATATTGCCCAGGCTGTGGGATCTTCTCCTCATGGCTCTCACTCTAACTCTTCTGTGCCTCTGTTCACCATGTAAAAAAAGGAGCAAACAAACATGTTGTACCTGTTTTGTAGTTCAAGGATTTCTATCTGTAGGCACATAGGATCCCACTGTTGGCCAAAAACCTTGGTGCTTCTTCCACAGTAGAGGTGAATCAATGATTACCATACCTATGACCTTCCTGTCAAGAGAAATGTAAAGTTTATCTATGTGCATGGGAAAAACAATCTTTGCATTGAGAGAGCAAAGACAGACAAAGAAAGCAAAAGAAAAGCAGAAGGATATCTTGACTGGGTATGGAGTAAACTCAGCAATAACACTTTCTACAAAGGAAATAGGAACTGTTTAAAGGAGTTCAGTGCTCCCATTTCTTTCCTCTCTGGAGGCTGGACCTGGCCATTTGCAATGCCAATTTGCAACCTCATTTCCCTGCCACAGCCTGGCAGGGCTTGGAAACATGTCCCAGCACAGTGCCTACACTGCAAACGCTGCTCTATTATGCCACACAGCTATTTTAGCATTCTCCAAAACTGTCTTCCAGGGCAGAGTAAATGGTTTTCTACATCTTAATGGGTAAGGTTATAATATTTTACATATGTAACATATGTGTACATATGTATTATTGTTATTTTAATGATAGTTTTTTTCTTCTGAAATATTTCAGCATCCTCCTTCTGAAATATTTTATTTCAGATTAATTCTCTGTCCCTGGACAAATGTGACTTTTTTTCTGCTCTTTCAGTGAATATATTGTTATTCTATTCTGTTCTAGTCCTTATATCACTGTTCCTCCTGAAGGTACCAATACCTCCAATACCAGCTAACAGTAAATGCCCTTACTGAGCTCAGGGACCATATTTAAAGTGGAATTAAAGAGTGCTGTGACACATACTCAACTTCAGCTCAGGGTATTCTCTGTCTCTTCCTCTCAGCAGCTTCTCACGGTGCCCTCATCCCCCCAGAAAGGTGTAAGTCCTTCGTGAGGCTAACTGAACTCTGCTGGTATGGAGCCCTGGAGACTGAGCTCACAGTTAGAGCAGGGCTTTGTTCTCAGGAGCTGTCAGTGTGAGGTCATGCCATGTTACAGCAAGAAGGTTCATGATACCACCTTAACAGGAGAAAACAATGTAGCCCTGAGCTGTGTTTCAAGAGATAAAAGAAATGGAACAACTAGGGGAAGATCCATCAAATAAGATGAAAGAACATCACCAAGAAAAAAAAAGAAGGAATGAAAAAACCCCTGTGATGTACTAGTCTATGAAGCACAAAAGTAACAATGAAAGTAGTAACTTCAGAGAGTGCTGTTCCTTGTTCAGGCCTGTCTTTGATCTTTCTTTTTGATTCCCACAAGGGCATCTTCACAGTCCTTAGATGTGGAATTGCTGGTACCAAGTCTTCCCCCATGGGATGGCCGAGCAGCCCTCCCTGCCCGTGGGATGCGCTTTTGCTGTGGCACGAGTGCACAGTGCAGCCCCTGAGCCGTCCATGAGAGCCATGCATGAGAGCACAGGTGGATGCTGAAGTTCGGAAAGGAGGGGGCTGCCTGGCCCAGCCCCAGAGCAGAGGTGGTTTATGAGCTGTTCCCTTTTCCTGTGCCATTGCTGCAGGCTGGTCAGAGCATCTTCTAGGCTTCTTTTCCCAGGACAAGCTCATGTGCATCCGCACAGACCTCCCCTGTTCTACCTGCAGTGGGGCTCCCCCAGGAGCATCTGCACCTACTGAGGAGGCAGGCCCTTTCAGAGAAACAGCCCCTGTGATTGTTTCCATATGGTTTTAGAAAGGAAAGAAGAGGCCAGAATACCCCTCAACATTGAAAATGTAGCATTGTTCATGGCTTCTGCTGTCTCTTCCTTGCTTGCTGTCTACTGGAGAGAAGGACTCGGAGAGTTTGTCATCCCAGGCTGCAAGTGAAGGCACCCTGACTGTGCTAGGAAGGTACCTGGTACTCCTGTACCATGACACCAGTGCATGGGGCACTTGAGCTTCCTCTCAGGAAGCAAGGAAGAGCAAAACCAGGAGTATTCTGCAAACCTTGCAAACTAGTGTTTGATTAATTTCAGACAGTTTTAATTAAGAAGTATTCCCTCCTCAGTTACTTATGTGTTTTATGGGAAGTGGATGTGGTTATCTGAAATCAAGCGAGGGATGGTGTTTCTGTAATCTCATCAATACAGGGTGTATCACCACTGGGAAGTGAGACAGTGTTAACAAATAACCAGAAACACTCCCCCTTCCCCCCTTCCCCCTGACACTAATAGATCCACCTTAAATTAATACTTGAATTTGCTTCAGTGTACAACATATTGTGATGCACCATCTTCTATATTAAATGCTATCTGTCTTTCTGTTGATTGCATTTTACTGTAATGCTCTGTGTGGAAAAGAGGATTATTCTGAAAGGTAGGGCTCAAGCTTGTAATTTCAGCAGCAGATGTGCTTTTAGATGCATTATTTCTGAAGCAAAACATTTAGCTTGGAGTCTCTAAAAGTCTCTCTCTTTTTTTAACCCAAAGAGTTCTTGGTTTTTCTTCCTTTGGTGATCAGAATCTTTTACGGTAGCTCATGAAGGCATTCAGATACCAAGCCTTCTAAATCAACTGTAATTCCTGAAAATTTAGACTATGTTGATAATAATACATGTGCTCTTTAACTGCAGCAAATGTGTACGTACAAGCTGATGCTGCTAATGACTTGATTATGCTATGGAATCATGAAAAGAAAAATTTTTGGTCCTGTAAGTTTTCAAGTTGACAGACAAAGAGAATACAACAGGTGAATGACAGAAACGAAACAGGACAGTATAGGAGGTCTACAGCAAATGAAATGTGATCACCAGGACAGCAGGAATCACATGGCCCACTGCTGCTTATTTTCCCTAGACTCTATAAATACACCTTTCTGCGGGAAATGCAGACTGTAGAAAACTACAAATGTCCACTTTTATGGCTTTGAATCTCAGCCATGAATTGAATAATTTACATTACTGAAGAGTGAAATGGTGCAAAGTTGTTTGTGCATTGAAGGTAAATTGAAGTCTTTTATGGGAGACATTTTGCAGAGGAAAGGTGTGGGAAAGTCAAGATGTGTAAGCAAGACTCAGAGTAACCTCAAGGGTGATGTGCTTAAGCTTCACTGAATAAACAACAGAATGATTTGATATCCTTCCCAATAAGCTTTACAAATATTCCTGCACTGTCTGAACGTATTTCATACTAGCAAGCTAACAGGGTGTCAGAAGTGGCAGCATTCACGCCAAGACTCCACTCTGCCGTGCTCCCCAGTTAAGTGCAGGGACAGTAAATTTCACAGCATCTTTAATCTTTGTCTGAAGTGTAAATAACTTCACATGGACTTTTTTAAAAAAATAAAATTAAATAAAGTCCTTGCCTTCTTATGGGTTTAATCTCAGTGCTGATGTCAGTTGATGGTTCAAAAACTCAGTCCCCTATTTTTAAATCATTAATCTGGTTCAATAACTGTCTTAGCCTTTGCTTTGATAGTTAAATCAATTCTTAGGAAAGAAAATAAGCTTGTCAGTGAATCATACCCAAAGGTCTACCTTTCTTTAGAGCCAGTTGCAGATTATATAAAATAAATTTACTCTGAACTTTCCTGAAATGAAAGGGACTGAAGAGAGCAAATGCAAGAGCTGCAAACCAGCAGCAGTGAGGGGTGGGTTAGCTGCCATCATGGTACCATGGGTACTGTTGTATCCCTGCTCTTTACAGTGAGCAGCTGCCATCACCACACTTGTCCATAACTGTGTCTTTGCAAGAAAAGCACAGATGAAACCTAAGACAACTCTCATGAAAAATTAAAATATTTAGAGAGCCCTTAGACCTGAGCTGGAAGTCCTTCCCCAGGAGAAACCTCCATGAGGTTTGAATCCACAGAAGGACTTCAACATGGGGGACTGCATCTCTGTCCTGGACAGCACTGATGGACATCAAGTAGCCCTGGGGTCTGAGTTATAAGAAAATGGTACAGCCTGTACTTCTCTCTCCTTCCTATACTGCTCAATAATTGGAGCTTTTGTTTTTTTCCTAAAAGTCTGGTTTGTCATGAGATGCCAGGGGGAGGTGTGTGAGGGGGTGCCTGAAAGACACCTCTGGATGAAGCTTTTATTGCATTGGTTCTTGGTATTGCAGGGCATTGGATTTAAGGACCTGATTGTAGGGACAAACTGAGCCAGAAACTTCATACAGAGAAATAATCCTGTGTCCTCTAAAATAAGACACTTAAATTAGTCACTTAGGTCAGAGTGAAATCAAGACAACAGAATAAGATATTAAACTGCTTCTTTCTGTTGACATTTTTTGCTGCCAGCTACTAAATCTTTTCATGGTTCATTTTTTTAGTTTAATAGAAGATAATATTTCAAAATTTTAATTTCCAGTGAAAATGTTTTCAATTTTCCTTTATTTTGGGGGACAGAGATCAAAATAATTTTGACATAATAATTTTCCTTCACAACTGAATGATCTATAAAGGTTTATTTCTATGGTTGCCTTTCTCAGGCTCTTGAATTTTTCATAGATTAGCAAAACGAAGTTTTGTGACTTTGTCATGTTTGCAAAGTTTAAGTTACACAATGGAGAAATAAAAAAACCAAAAACATGGAACACAGAACTAGAATGAAAACACAAGAATAGTTTCAACAATTGCTTTGATTAAGATGACACTCTGAAAATGCAGTTTTTCCAAGACTAAGGAGAAAAGCTGGATTCTACCATTGCAAATACTCTTTTCATGATTTCTTCTGTACATGCAAGTATATGCAAGTCTGAAGTCAGAATCTGGGCCATACTTTTCCAGCTGGAGCAGCCTTTTCTGAAATAATCCCTGCATTATAGCCAAGAGTTATATATACTTATTAAGCATTTGAGTGGCATTATTTGCTTTTAAATGAAGATGGATTTTAACTTGCTGCTTCCAATTAGAATAACAATAAACATTTTCCCTAATGATGATGACATGCAATAGTGTTAAATTGGAAATGCAAAAGCTTTTTCTGTTGGTACAGTATGAGTTACAGTGTCATTAAATATATAATCAGCCATTTATTGCTTGTGTTATTTTTGAGGCACTTAAATGAAAAGTTGATTTGTCTCTTATTAGACCTCAATAAATGTTCCTTTAATAGTCATAGGATGTTTTAATGCTTTACAGAATCATTGTCATTAAACTGAATGCAGGACATTGGACTTAAATAAAAGAGAAATGGAAAAACTCAATAAATCAGGATAATAAAAGCTTTTCTTTGTGCTCTTTGAATTGTGCTGAAATGGATCTGTCTCTTAAACTGCCTTACTAAGGCCAAAGTAGCTTAATTGCTTAAGGGCTTGATTATGCTGCATGAGTCAGCTGTGAGACTGTGGCAGTAAAGGACACATTTCACCACAGACACTTGAGGATGAATTTTGCTGCTGTATTGGTAGACTTCCCTCAGAAACAATGCCCAGGTGAGAGAAATACACTGCAATGACTTCTTTTATTATTGGGAATCTTTCTTCAATATCAGGGACATGTGGAGAATGCTCAAGGCACAACACTTGGGGATAATTCCTTGCCCTTTTGTACTGATTTTCCTCAGCTCCTATGGGTTACTCTGGCATTCAGTGCCAAGACATGAAATAGCTCTCAAGCACTTTGTGAGATGTGTGTGTGTGTATTTACATATATGATATGACATATATCTTAAACACATTGGTCAACATTATCCTGAAAAGCAGGCATTGACCCTAATAGTCGTGTCCTAAACACATCAGAAATGTTATCTTTGCATGAACTTCCTCAGTGTAAACTTTTTACTGAATTTATCTATGTATTTGATATAAAAAATAGTAGGTTCTTTTAAATCATGCTTTCTTGGCCAGCTCAGTTATCCAGATGAAAAGTAGACTTTTATGATGCAAATTATTAATGCTCAGTCTTTTTGAGTTTTGACAGCTTTGGCTGAAACAAGGATATAGAGACCTGATCCGTTGTGAAATGAGCTAATTTT